TCAAGACGCCGTTGTTGTATTTCACATGATGTTGCGGTGTAGTTTCGGTGACATTACTAGTTCTCAATTCTTCTTGGTTATTCGTGGTTGCTTCGCCATTGTCCAATTCGTCGGTGCACATATCATCACGAATCTTTTGCTGCCATGCTGAGAGATCTACATTGCTTTCAACAATTTTTTGACACTCGCGATAAATATTATGCACTCCTTCCATACTTGACCGATGAGCATTTTGGTAGCGACTACGTTGAGCGCCTTTTTGGCTACGCACTGAATACGATGCGAACAGCACAATCGGAAGCTCTGGGTATCGCTCATTGAAATAGTGTCGCCAGGCAACGACAGCCTCTGCTGCGACTAGATCCACTTTATTAAAGATGACAATCGCTTGTTTCTTTATCGTGTGAATAATATAATCATATAAAGATGGCGGAAACATTAGCGACGCATAGCGAACGTCCACAATGATTAGTAAAATATCTGAGAACTCAAGCACACGCCAAAGCTGACGCCACGTTTCCAAGTTTAGCTCGAAAAGGGAATGCTCCTTAAGATTGTTGCGCTCCTTTTTTTGTAGCAATTCATCAATATACTCCTGAAAGATAATTATCGCTTTATCACTTTTTATAAAATTTACCAATTAACATACCTTGAAATATCTATTTTCATTGCGGTCCAATTGTTCTTTGCTTTGATCAAATGTCCAAGCTGGACGCACTGGAAAATCATATGTCTCAAAATAGCGCTCATCGATCTCCCTTTGGGTGGGCGTTAGGACATCCAGTGGACGAAAGCCCTCCTGCTTCAATATCTCTATCTCCTTTTTGCTTTCTTGCATGAATTGAAGATTGTAACGGTTTACATTCTTGTTTCGACCACCGCGTGTTAAAGGTTGCTCCATGAGCTTCTTATCAACTGTTCTCTCTTGTGCATCGCTGTCTTCGTTCGATTCTTGAGTGCTTCGCAAGTACTTAGGTTGACCTATTGGTCTTTTTATTTTTGCAATTGTTTTGCACAAATACAATCACTTACCTTTTAAAGAACGTTTTTGTAGTATCTGATCCTTCTTCTTTTTTCCGCTAAAAGCAACTTTTCGTCTTTGTTGCGGCATATTTAAATATTCGGGAACCAAATTGATAATTTCTTCAAATTTTCAATTGCTCCTTGGTGTTGCAGCTGACGCAAAAATAACACAAGTTAACGCAAAAAAGAGCCTTATGGCGCATCAATTGACTCATTTAAAATTTGTTCACAGTATAACATTGTTAATTTGAAACTTATTACGTATTTTCATATTGAAAAACAAATGATTGCTATGTGACTGTCATCTACATGTATTTGTGGGAATTGCAGTTCATTATGTCATTCCGCTGGCATACACATTTGCAATTAAATTCTTTCAACCGGCTTAGGCTATGTTGTATCACTAACCAGAGAACAGTCTATGTGTTCTCTGGTTAGTGGTTGTATGTTAGCACTATCCATGTTAAACGGTTAGCGATGTTAGATAAAAAAAATGTATTTTTTTTACTAAGAGCAAACTGAAAATTTGTTTAATCGTAGTCCATTGTAAATATTCCATTTTGCGATAGCTAAAGCTATTAATGCTTACTGAATATTTTATATTAAATACAAATAATTTATATATGTACATATAGTGAACTGAAGCTCATTTTATTTTTGAAAATTCATTATATCATAAGAAATTTTATATAGGGAATATCTATCCATCTTTAAGCTTTTAGTAGCATCCTAAATTTCTCTATTTGTTAAAACAATTGTATGAATACAAAATTGTGGTATTTTAATGCTACATGTATTTATGTTATGCTACTGTTAAAGAACACTGATGATAATACCTTTGTGTTAGCACTGGCGATCTTAGCACTGTGCAAAGTACATTGTATAGTGGGCAGTGAAAGGCTCTTCAAATGCCGTTAGGCGGTGTAAAGGTTTTAGAGTTTGTGGGACTAGCTCCTGGGCCATTGTGTGGCAAAATACTCGCAGATTTCGGTGCAAGCGTAACGCGCATAGACAAGGTACAGACATATTGAAATAGGATTGCAGTTGGTATACACTTACAATATTGTTTTAGGTACTGGATAATTCCTTGGATGTGCTGTACCATGGTAAGCGCACTGTAGTCGTTGATCTAAAAAAGACGGCAGGTCAACAGATTGTCCAACAGCTTGCTCGAAAATACGACGTTATAGTTGAACCATTTCGGCCCGGAGTCATGGAGAAGCTCAATTTGGGCCCTGATTTATTGTGCTCCGCCAACCCGCGTTTAATTTATGCACGTCTCACAGGATTTGGACAACATGGTCGACTTGCGCCGCGTGCTGGGCATGATCTGAACTATGCAGCCGTATCTGGGGTGCTTTCGATGCTGGGCCGCGAGCATGAGAAACCAACGGCACCTATCAATCTTTTAGCGGATTTTGCTGGTGGAAGCGTTATGTGTGCATTGGGAATATGTTTAGCGTTGTTGGAACGTCATAAGTCTGGAAAAGGTCAGGTTGTGGATGCAGCAATGGCTGATGGTGCTGCATATGTCGCTAGCTGGTTATTTATGTCCAGGAAGCTCAATATTTGGGGTCAAGCGCAACAGCGTGGAACAAATCTGCTTGATGGCGGCGTTTATTTCTACGACACTTACGAAACAAAAGATGGCCTTTTTATGTCGGTGGCCGCATTAGAGCCGCAATTTTTTAGTTTAATTAAGGAACGATTAAATTTGCCCCAAGAATTGTCGCAATATGGAGAAGAACATCAAGTCCGAGGTAGACAGCTATTAACGGATATATTCCTTACAAAAACGCAAGCCGAATGGTCAGAAATATTCGAAGATATAGATGCTTGTGTCTATCCTGTAGTGGATTGGCAGAAAGTCCAAAATCATGACCATAACGCTGCCCGTCAATCTTTTGAGCGAGTTGACGACAATTGGGCGCCCCGTCCGGCTCCTCGTTTATGTCGGACGCCTGGTAAACTACGCTCGAGTACACACTTTGATGTAAAGAGTTTCCTTGATGAGCTGGACATCAAACCTGAGAAACTGCGCCAACTGCAGGAGGAGGCAGTACTGATATTGCCAAATAGGCCTAAACTGTAACTGTAACTGTAAATAAAAGTCGATTTAACAAATTTTGCTTGCATTCAAAATACTTTTATTTTCCTTGCACACAAACACAATTACATTTCTTTTTCATCACGTACAAACTATCAGTCATCCAGTGCTTAAGATCAATTATTTAAGCAGAAATTTAAACATACTTTTCTTTTAACAAAATAATTCTCATTTTTGCAGTATGGAAATAATAATATGCTTTCATTTATACCATTCGATTCAAGAACAACTTGACCAGACGAGTAATCTATTTATATTCGGATTCACACTCTTCACGCATGCTATATAATTCGCACACACGCATTATGATAAATGACAGTAGAGAAGATACACAATACTCACTTAAAATTAAACATATTTATTTTTATTTATAATCCATTGTAAGCACCGCGCGTCAGCGTAACCTTTTCATAATAATTTCATACATGCGTACATTGTACATTTCCGTATTAGGTATGTATACATATTGTATATGAACCTGCAATATGCATACAGACATTGTTTTTATATTAACTATATTTATGTCCGTTGCGTTGTGTAAATTTTTCTATTTTTCTGTTAGTTTGTATCGTACGTCCCGCGTAAAGTAATTAATGATAGTCCTTATGTAGTTGTTTGTATTTATGTATGTATTGTATAAGTATAAAGTCTCAGTTCTCAGTATAAAATCAGTACCATATGTTTCGTTTCAATTAGTTTTGTTTTGATCTCTTTCAATGTCATTTTTGTTTTCTTCTAATTTGTTATTCTTTTTTTAAACATTTAATTCTTGATTTGCATTCTTACAAAACAGAATATTATTTTACATTTTTCTGCTGCGCGTGGTGCTTTTTACACACATATTCACACATCAATCACATACATGCTCACTTTTACAGATACATTCTGGTTTAAATTCATTGAACAGAACACGATACAATTTGATCTAAAAGTGTTCTTCATATTTGCACTTATATCAACCGATCACACTTATACATAGCGTCTAATTTTGTTTATGTATATAAATGAGAAAAGCAGACCGACCATTAAATTTTACATTGTTCACGATTTAAATTCATTTGTGAATCTGGAATGATATCAACACACACTCACGCACATTCATCAGTCATAGTCTTGCACACCCAAGCGCACATATTTTACAATGTGGATGTATATATAATATTTGTGCAGGATCAGTTGATTTGGGATTCGAAATATCTTCATTACTCTCAAATAAGCTTCCAATTAAAATACATCTGATTTCATCATCATTATCACACATGCTCACAGGTTCATCAATCATCCAAAATGTGTCATCTGGAAAAAGATACGCAAAAGTTGTCATTTCTATTCGCAAAACATTCAAAAGAAACTTACGTACGCCAATGTGTGATACATTTTCAATTGTCTTTCGACGTTTTGTTCTCAATCATAGGTCTCATACATGATGCAGCCTGGATTTGAAGCCGCCAGAACACATCAGCAAATTCCGTCCCCAGTGTTTTTAAGACTTAAAGTATTACTAATCTAATTATTTTGGCAATTCAAATTGAGTGTAAATAGTTTAAATACGTAATTTATGACGAATCGTTATATAGATTGAAAGGTAAATTATTAGAGAATTATAACTGAACTGCATGAATTTACTTTTGGACGGCAGTGTGATAGTTAAAATCATTCAAAATAATAAGATATTGCAAGTTCATCTGGGTTATTTAAATTACTTTGACTTTATGCTTAACGCAAATTTGTAGGTTTACTTTCAATCTATATTGTAAATTATTTTAATTTCTTAAAAAGATCAGAGAGCTGTTAAAAGATCTTAAACGGGAATTTCTTACATAAAAGTTTTAGTTTTATTTTAAGTATTGAATAATTGCTGAGAAATCTGTTTTTTTTTTTTTTTTGTACGGTTTACTCCATAAACGAGTGATCATGTGAATGACGAAAGATAAAACTGAGTTTAGTCATTAACAAATTCGCGTCGTGTCGTTATGTCCTAAACAGTCATATACTTGTTCGTATGGTGTTTATATTCCTAAATGTAATGTAGATGTATCTATGTATGTATGCATGTATGTAAAGTGAAGTACTGTAGTGTTACCCTGGTCCGTTTTCGTTAGTTTAGTAGTGCTTTATTTGTTTGCTTGTTTAAGTTCAATATAACGTTGCAGGTAGTTGTTCGGTTGTTACTGTATTCGTTTTTCATTTCATTTCACATTTGTTTCATATTGATTTTGTATTTAAAATTAATCGAAAATCAGGCGCTGGTCTGAATATTGGCTGAATAATATAAATGACAGTTTTATGTACTATATAAAAATTGAATCGGTTTAAATTTATTGGTTTCCCTATATTGTGTTTTCATGATTGGGATTTGTTATTTATTATTATTGTTATTGTTTATTATAACAGATTGGCGCCCGTTTAAAATCTTTTTCTTTTCTTTTTATTTATTTATTTATTTTTTTTTTTTTTTGGTGTTCATTAATTTGTGTTTGGTATATCGTCGATTTTGAAATTTGCTTATAGCTAGTCATTCGTCTTATTTATTGGAAATTTGCTTAATGATCTCTAGAAAAAACTTACATTTAGTAATATCACACAACACGCCACACTCGCGCGCATTTGAAGTGCTTTTATTTATAAGGAGTGGTTCTCGCTCATAACACTTCAATCACAAACCATATAGTTTCAGTTCAGACATCCACATACCTCAGATTCACACTGTAACTAGATATGGAGATTAGTAGCAATTAATAAAGCACTCATTTATAATCATTTCATACATTGTACACAGGCATTCTTATGGCTCATTCATAAGTTAACATTCACACACAAATATTCTCATACTCGCATATTCCCGCACTCGCAGACTGCCACAGTCACACACTTACACATCTGCTGCATTTTGAAGTACGTCATTTTATATACGTCAAGAACTAAGAGTTTCATTCCCGCAAATCAACTAATTGGTTGATTTTTGTTTTTTTTTTTTTTCATTTACATAGGTGTATCTTATAAATTATGTTGCAGCCGTAAGATAATTTGTATACAATATTGCTATGTAGTTTTCGATTTTTATCGGGTTTAATGTAATGTTATAAATTGATACCGATTTTTCCCTTACATTACAATTTTATAGAGACATGATCATAATTTTGAATAACATTTTTTGCACTCCCTTTTGTTTTGTGTAATGTATATAATCGGATTCTCTTTGTGTCATACTGGAATCGTTGTGCTAATAAGCTGCTTAAATGTTAAGTTGTCATAATGCTTATGTAATCTATGTAGTTGTTGGACTGTAATAACGCTTCTTAGGAAATATCAAATTTACTAATGATCTCACACAAAAATAACAATATAAATATCATAATCATAGCAGGATTTGGCTTACAATTTAATTAAAAAACAAAATTGTCTTAAACTTTAAGCGTCGCACAGCAACAATAAATCGGACAAACAAACTTGCAGATAGAATTTTCGAATTCGGACTGAACTGTAAAAAATGTGTTACAAAATGAATTTTGAGTGACATTATTTCTTGCGAGCAACAGGTTACTCACCAGTTTGGCTGCGTACACACATTGGGGTGGGAAATAGATTAACACCTAAAAGCCCATTTTACTGGGCTATAACTTGACTGTTAATTTTCTTGATCTCCTTGGCCGCCCATGTACAGAGCATTTTAGTACGCTGACCCTTGGAACGCTTGCCTTCAGCCAGGAAATGTGTGATAACAACATCATCCAACAACGGGTAGAGACGTGGGCCAAATGATGTACATAAATCCCCAATGAATCCAGCGACACTTGCCACCATTAAGTCCGAAACTTCCCCGTCTTGGGCAATGCGCTTGATAAAGGAAATAATATGCATCAAATGAGGCTCCATATGGAACACATCTGGATTGGCCGTTTGCTCAACTCCTTTTAGACCTTGAATTATACCGGTGTATGCCTCTAGAACGCTTTCCCGCAATTCATTTATGTATTCTGTCATGTGGTAGTTGCTGGAATCCACCTGTTTAAAAAAAAAAAAATTATTGGAGTTCCAAAAAATAAGTGTGACTGATATTACCTGTAAATCGGACGCTGCCCGCAACATGTCCATAACTACATTTAGATATTTGAGAAAATCGCTCCCAATGCTTAGGGCCATATCGCCAAAGGCAGATAGAATCTGTGGTTTCACACTGCGATGAAGATTGGGCTCGGAGAGATCGCTCATCAATACGGAAATGATTTCATCGCAGTAGGGTACCATTAGGTGCTTTAATGCGCGACAAATATCACTAGTTAGTCCAATGGAAGCACAGCAAACTTGATATTCTTGATGATTCTTGAGCCCCATGATAAGGAAATCTTTAAAGGCTGGCATGTATTTGACAAATTGAAAGCCCAGTAGTTCAACTAGCGTAGAGAGGGCCAGGAAGGCGTCCTCCTGAACACCACCCGACTTTCCGGCACTTGAGCTGAACATTGTCAAGATTGCTGTCATAATGGCGTCTGAAATTTGTGGAGCATCCTCCTCGCGCACCTTGCGTAGCACACTCTGCAGAGTGGCACAGAGCAGGGATTGTAGGTCATTAAACTGGTGCCGATCGCTGTGGTTGCTGATGTGACTCTCCATCTGCATAACTTGGTTAAGACGCTCTAAGATGACAATCGTAGTGTGCTGGACGACTAAATAACAATCCAGAGGAGAATTTTTTATCATATTCATCAAAGCCTCGTAGGCAGCACTGCGCAAATTGGCCTGTGCGCCATCTGAACGATCAGTTGCTTCCAACAATTGGGTGATAATAAACTCAAAGTATGGTGACAGCGCATATGTCTCTGGTGTGTCTCCTTCGGTGGTGACGGCTGCTTCGTAAGCAGCATCCGAAAGACCTATAAACGCCCAGCAAACATTGGCGGCCACACGTGGTTCCGACTTAAGACTCTTCACGAAGCACTCAAGCAATGTTTGTAAATAAGTTTTGTTTATAGCAGCTTCTGGAATAACCTAATAAGTAAAGAGTTTTGTCGTTTACATATTTACATACAATGTATATGTGTATATGCTATAACAAGTAAAACGATGCATTCGGGCGCTACCGAATGATTAATACATGGTCGAAAAACCGTTGAATTTTTTTTGGTAGCGGAGTCCAAAGGCAATCTCCAGTCTGGAGCAATAGCTACAAAATTTGCTCTATATTTTTCATTCTCATATACCACGCTAGAAGAGTCGGACGTGGAAGTATATTTATATGGGACTTGAATAGTTACTGGTGATTGTCAACGGATTTATCAGATGCCGGAAATAGTATTTCCCGATTTGTTGTAATCAGAAAAGGGTTCCAAATTTCAAGCCTAGTTTGAATAGCGGCGAATTGGTTTGCATTAATACGGACAGACCTACGGACACCACACACCGCGGGAATGAGTAAATATTATCATTTATAGCAGTAATTGGCACTGTTGAACTAACACGCGAAAGAAATCTATTGCATATGAAAAACAATAAATAAAACTCAACTTACATCGCATATCCGTCCAAAAGTCCAAGCTGTTGTGTCGCGAACGATAACACTGGAATCGTACATAAGGCGTATAAGGGTGGGCATCGCCTGCTCAACAAGTGGTTTCAGCGTGTTGGGTTCTAAACCATTGAGCACTGCACCAAAAGTCATCACCGCAGCATCTCGGTAACGCCAATTGGGCGATTCAATATTTTCTTTGATAAACGGCAAGACATGCGGCACAATTTCGTCCTCGCAGCATGTGGCCAAAAGCATCAAGCATACTGAGGCAGCTTTAGCCGGACTCCAATTATCTTCATCGTCGCATTCGTCCTGGTTAGTAAGTTTTTCAACTAGAACCGGTGTTAAAAATTGAAGAGCACCACGTGCATAATGTTTGGAGACTCGTTGCGGTGCACGGCCCTGGTCGGTGGCCTCTTGGCTCTCAATGGCAAGATCGATTTCCTCATCGCTTACATTTGACCAAAACTCAATTCCCTGAAGAGCGATTGCATCATTTTCTGATTTCATGGCCTCCAAAGTAATTGGAAACAATGCTTGGGCCATGTAGGGCTCCATGAACTGGTAGTACAGCGACATGATCTTAACTAAACATTGCAAGGCAGCAACACATATCTGTGTGTCTGTGCACTGCGTTGCCTCACATACTACTTCCATGATAAAATTTCGCTCCATGTCCTTCTCAAAGTTTGCCTTAGTGAACTCTAATGAGTTGTAAAGCGCCGTCGTGGCAGCCAATCTAACATGATTACTGGGTTCCTGCTTGCGCATTCCATGTATGATAGCCGTAAGCACTTGATTGGATTGATTTTCAAGAACGCCATATCGGATATCCTGGCAAATATAACCAATTGCCTCTAGCGCAGCTTCGCGGTGCATTTCGCTGGAACCCTCATGGACAACCTTGTTGACAAGCGTCTGTATTAAAATGCCCCATCGATTGATCGGTAACTCAATGACAGCTACATAGGCAACGCATTGGGCAGCACATGACGGTCGAGTGTTTTCGGTGCCCAAAGCAGCAAGTATCTACGAATATATAGAATTAATTTAAACACTTTTGTTTCATGGTAAACGTATTTGTTAGTACTAAATATTAAAACCAGAATGTTTCACAAGATGTGATTAGAAAACTTATTTCGAATAAGCTATAAAATTAAGAAATTAATGCTTATTGATTGTGAAACATAAACTATACAAATACAGAATAAGTTTGTTGAACTGATCATTATATATAGCTCGAACAATTTCTTACATTATTTTTTATAAGTTCGCGGGCTTCGTCAGGAAACTGATGCCAGCGTTCCTGATACTGAAGACTGATCTTCTCATCCTTGCTAGTTAAGTGATTTTTCAATTGAAGACCAGCTGCCATTCGCGCCACAGCGCTATTTGTTGTATCAACTAGAATTTTGGACAGCGCCTTTAAAAATTCAGTTAGATTACTGGCGGCAGCCTGTTCCAGGAAGTTCTTCGCCGAAAGCAATTCATTTTTGTCTGCGAAAAGTAAGTAAATTTGAGGTTAGGGTAGCTGAATCACTCATAAATAAATAATATGCAAAAACAATTGTGTATTACTTTTGATCAGTTTATAAAATTTATTTATTACTTATATATATATATATATATATATATATATATATACACAATTGTTTTTGCATATATATATATATATATATATATATATATATATATATATATATATGTATGTCATTGTTGTGTATAGCAACCAAATGTTCACATATTGGACGTTGCAACCCTGCGCAACATACGCGTCACTGCCGCCGACGTTGCGTCGTAACAAAGCCTATAACAAAATGGCTTTTTGGTTGGCCCTGAGCAACTAAACTTAGATGCTTTGATGTATAGGTGCTTGCCTCAATGGAAATTTATGTACATGCACATACATATGTATATATATCTTTAAAGGATATTAAATATTTACCTGGTGAGACCGTCTTCTCCAAGATAACAATTAGTTGGCGTGTTATGTCCGAAGTCATTTTAGTGCTCTTACTTTCGATTTCGTGCAAATGCCGTAGCTGTTAGGGCGCGAATTGGTGGAAATTTTTTCGTAATCGCTTAGCTTTCTATGGTGTGTATGTATATGTGAATATAGACAATACCGAGCAGCTGCCAAATAAGTAAACGAATAATAAAGTGAGCTTTATTAATTGACGATGAAACGAACACTTTGCAAATATTGTGTCGCCCTAAAATTGATTTTTTCGCTTAAATACTTACTCACTCTGCGTGTCTGTTTCCCCTTTGTCTGCGCGTTCCTGATGCTGTGTTGCTATTTCGATTTTGCCTATTCCAACTGTCAAAAAGCGCGGGACCAGAAAAACTCTCGCTGAAATTGTTAATATATGTAACTTGAATTTGTCTAGCTGCAATTAACTTGGAACAAGAAGTTTTATGTTCGACTAAATGTAAATTGTAAAGAAATACAAGCAGGCCGGCTCTGAATAATTCTCGACTCCACATGGAAAACTGATGCGCGTCAATCATTTTGAAAGGTGGCAACTCGTGGCTTGCTCATAGCTGTCAGTTGAATTTAAATTTAATGCGTTTCACAAAAAATAGTGAAGTCTAAAATGCACATATAAAGCAAACAGAATTTGTATCAAATAGGTCTACTCACAAAATAAAATTTCGGCTTTAAAGAAAACATTACTCAAAAACAAAGTTTATCCATAGAAGTAACTCTGTAGCCATTTAGATAAGTTGGCAGGCCCAAAAGTGGCAGCGCCGTTTTTGCGATTGCACAGTGCTGACGTTTATCAGACAGAAATAAGCCGAAAAAAAAAAAACAAAATTTGGCAATATCTCTGCTAGGTACGTACAAATATCGAGAGCACTGCAGAAACAGCTAAAGTTCTGGTGAAACTCCGTCGACGGTTGTTACAATAAATTTAATCGTAAAATTTAGTAACTCCGCATCCACCTGACTCAATATTCGCTTTTAGTTGTCAATACACTAAGAATGATATCGTCACGGAGCCGTTGCACCATGGCTCTGTACTCTCAAGTGGCGCTGGTGATATTATTGTTTAACACGTTGACGATTTGCGAAGCCTTTTATCTGCCTGGCCTGGCCCCAGTGAACTACTGCAGGAAATCGGATGTGTCCAGTACATGCAAGGTATGTGTGTAAATGTACATACATACTTACATATGTATGTGTGATTGTGTTCAGCGTTAAAAAAAGGTCTGTACATCGTAAGGGGCTCGTTCGTTTCATTTCCTCTAAACTATACTCAAAGTAGTGATAAGATTCCCATGAGTATTACATACATATGTATGTATATCGTTTCGAACTAAGTTGACCGTGGGGTGGTCTGCTGACGTAGAGCGTTTTGTTTGGCATGATCCAAACTATGTATGTAAACTTCATACATGTAAGCTCTTCATTCATGCATATGTTAAATGTTTATATGTATACACACATGTATAAGACTCAGTTGGCAAGATCCCATACATATCGTTTAGTTTATCATTCTTCTTCATTTCTAGCTTGCTCATTCTCTTTAGGGAGCATTTTTTTCTATTTTAAATACAAGTTATCTATGCTATAAAATCAATATTTTTTATTAGGTACTAAATAATATAGTAAAGGTACAATATATTATTAGTTTGATTAATCTGTATATACAGTAGAATCCGGTTATAACGACTTGTCTTGGTTGGTCCCCATACAAACTTAGTACGTCTCCGCTTTTAACGACAATCCGCTTATGCCGACGATTTTTATACACTGAACCCATTGAAAATGGGAAACCAGGGTATAATGGTTTTGTTAAAAGTATGTAACAGGCAGAAGAAGGCGTGGCAGACCCCACAAAGTATATATATTCTTGATCAGGGCGACGAGCTAAGTCGATTTGGCCCTGTCCGTCTGTCTGTCCGTCCGTCCGTCCGTATGTATGAACGCGTCGATCTCAGAAGATATAAGAGCTAGAGACTTGATATTTGTTTTCCTAGGTCCGTGTATATCACGCGCGTATCAAGTTTTTCTTTATATATCGATAACTACTCCCAATATTTTATTATCGATCAAAACCCTTATCGAAAGCTAATTATTTAATTATATCTCCTACACCTTTAGAGCTAGAGCTTCCAAATTTTAGATGTAGCCCAGTAATTAGGATATCAGATTAGAGGGTTCAGGGTATCTCCTAGTCGAGCAGTCTCGACTAGAGTTTTCTTACTTGTTTTTCATATTTTTGAGTCAATCACCGGTTATTACGACGTGATAAAAAAAAATCGCGATGACAACAAATTTCAGCATAAAACAAGTTAACATAGATATGCATGTATTTGCCAAAGCACACGTCCCTAGTATTTGAAATACGCCTTTTACAAATGTGAGAGTGAGGGGTGAATTAGCGGGTAAATTTTGACAAAAATCGAAATTGTATAAAATGCATATAAGTATACATAAAAGATTTGGAGAGTCTAGCTTTAAAGATGTAGCAGATATAAATTTATTACTGGTTTTCGATAATGTTTTAATCGATAACAAAATAACGGGGCAAGTTATCGATATTTAAAGCAAAACTCGATATGCGCGTGCAATACACGGACCTAGGAAACAAATATCCAGTCTGAAAAAAAAATAAAAATATTTTTTACTCTTTCTGGTTAAAGCGTCCTCCGGGTAGAGCGACGTAAAATCGACGGTCCCTTGAGTGTCGCTATAACGGGATTCTACTGTAGTTAAATATTGGCAAAAGTCGAAAGTATGAGTTGGGTTTAAATTAATCTCATTTAATTTTATATTAATTATGTTTTGTTATCTCGAAATTTTTGTTATTTTCGATGGATGGAAATATGTACATTATTTTAATTTTTTCGAACAGTACCAAATGGTATATTTAGTCTCATATATTGTTGCGTATTTCTATTTCATTATTTAGTCTGATGTCATTCTGTATGTTAATCGTTTAAATACTGAGGAATCGGTTTTACCTTATGAGTACCATCACTTCGATTTCTGTCTGGGGAAAGAGGAAAATTCTCCGGTAGAAAACTTAGGACAAGTATTGTTTGGCGAGCGTATACGCCCTGGTCCTTATCAAATACAGTTTTTGGATGATGTGGAATGCAAAGTGGTAAGTAAGATGTATTACATATTTAATTAGCGTATATTTAATTAAATATTTATAATTGCAGGCATGTCGCAAAAACTATACTGGTGGTGATGCGGACAGCGATCGGCGAATGATGGTACTTAAAAAGGGTATTAGTCTTAACTATCAGCATCATTGGATAGTGGATAACATGCCTGTTACCTGGTGTTATCAGCTTGAGACGGGAAAGCAGTACTGCAGTATTGGCTTCCCAATGGGCTGCTTGGTTCGTCCAGATGGCGACGGCTGTCCCATCAACTTACTATACAAGCGGACCTTGCACTACTATCCTTTCAATCACGTGGATCTGGAAATAACTTATCACAGTGGCGCTCGCGAGGATTGGGGTATTGGTTTCGGTAGTAGTGGTCGCATCATATCAGTTAAGGTCACTCCAAAGTCATTGAGTCACGCTGATCCCAACAAACCAAACTGTTTGGGCACAGAGCCTTTGGCCATACCTGAAAGCTCCCTTAAGAATGGTGTATTTCTGGAAATTGTTTATACATATTCCGTGAAATTTGTGCTGAATAATTCAGTGAAATGGTCCTCGCGCTGGGATTATATTTTAGAGTCGATGCCGCATACAAATATTCAATGGTTTTCTATACTCAACTCATTAGTTATTGTTCTCTTCCTGAGTGGTATGGTGGCTATGATTATGTTGCGCACTTTGCACAAGGATATAGCACGATATAATCAAATGGACAGTGGTGAAGACGCACAGGAGGAATTTGGATGGAAACTTGTGCACGGGGATGTATTCAGGCCACCACGTAAAGGAATGCTCCTCTCCGTTTTTCTTGGATCCGGTGTGCAGGTATTGGCAATGTCTATGGTCACGTTGGCTTTTGCTTGCCTTGGTTTTTTGTCACCAGCAAATCGTGGTGCTTTGATGACTTGTTCTATGGTGTTGTTCGTGTCGTTGGGAACACCAGCGGGATACGTTTCAGCGAGAATCTATAAGAGTTTTGGCGGCGTAAAATGGAAGAGCAACGTCATACTCACGTCTCTTGTTTGTCCCGGGTAAATTTCAACAAAATTCCTAATTATAAAACTATGAGTTATTTATTTATTTTTTTTTTCTTATAGAGTCGTTTTCTCGCTTTTCTTTGTGATGAATCTTGTCCTTTGGGGCGAGAGCAGCTCTGGAGCTGTGCCTTTCAGTACTCTGATTGCCTTGTTGGCTTTGTGGTTTGGAGTCTCAGTGCCATTGACCTTTGTTGGTGCCTACTTTGGTTTTCGCAAGCGAGTGAGTTATAACTATTTAATTATTTTGATTTAGTTTTTCCGTGAAGATATTAGATATTAACACTTTGATTATGTTTATTGCAGTCTCTTGAGCATCCAGTGCGCACCAATCAAATTCCGCGTCAAATTCCCGATCAGTCAATCTACACGCAGCCTATTCCTGGTATAGTAATGGGTGGAGTTTTGCCATTTGGCTGCATCTTTATTCAGCTATTCTTTATATTAAGTTCGTTATGGTCAAATCAGATGTACTATATGTTTGGATTTCTCTTTCTCGTATTCCTGATACTTATCATCACATGCTCAGAAACAACAATATTGCTTTGCTATTTTCATCTATGCGCAGAAGACTATCATTGGTGGTGGCGATCATTTCTTACCTCGGGATTCACAGCCGTTTATTTGTTCATATATTGTTGCCACTACTTTTTCACAAAGCTCTCAATTAAGGACAGCGCTTCAACGTTTCTCTACTTTGGCTACACGGCTATAATGGTATTCCTGTTCTTTTTGCTAACCGGCACCATTGGCTTCTTTGCATGCTTCTGGTTTATACGAAAAATCTATAGTGTTGTCAAGGTCGATTAGGCGCATAAATCAAGTATTTATACAATATGTGTGCTCGTGTGTTTTGTATGTGTAGCCACAATTTATACTTAAGCCTAATGTGTGTGATTTCTGCGCTGTGGGTGAACAGCCAGTTTTCTGTTTATTATAAAGAACTTATTAATGTACGACTACATATATAATACATAATGTATATGTTTATGTATATAAGTATGTGAGTATGTTGTAGTACCGAAGCGCGCAATAATATTTATTATAAATCAGAAAATACGAGAAAAAGAGGGTGCAAATCAATTTTGTATGTTACATGTTTCAGAAACAATTTATAAACAATTTTTGGCATGTAATTTAATCATTTCAAATAAACGTCCTATTCTCGATATAAACGTAATTTGAAAAAGTAAATAAAAGAGGATAAAAAAAGAAAATTATAAAATTATATAAATTAACTTAACACACATTTCTTAACCGTTATCATAATTTATTACTTTGTAATTATATATACTTTTCCTTTTGTTTATTCTTAAAGCTTGGATTCTAAGGATAAACATATGTGTAATATTTTAAAAGTATGTACTTTAGTTTAAAGTAATTAAAAACCAACTTGGAATTAAAAAATAAATCATAAAAAGAAATTTAAAAATGTTGCCTTCCTCCTTTTGACTTTATGCAAGGGTTGCAACCCTTCGAACTGCACCATATGACAAACATTTTTAAGGCTTCTGCTAAAACGAAAAATTGTCTTTAAACATATTCCAAGAAATTGTAGACCGTTCAATCCACTAGACTAATGACAAGCCAAATTGTGGAAAGTGAAGATGAGTTCGATGAGTTCTCGGAGCTGCAGCAACATAACAAGCCCAAGGCGCAACCATCAGTGGATGTAAGTAGCCGCGTTGCTCTGGAAATATGCATTGTAAGCAACTTACAGGGGATACCATTTTAGGAAGCTTTTGATTTGGATGATTTGCTGCCAGTCATTGGCGAGTTCGGCAAGTACCAGAAGCTCCTCGTTTTTGGCATTTGCCTGCCTGCCTGTATACCATGCGGGTTTTGTGCTTTCAACCAACTCTTCATGGCCGACACCCCTGATGATTACTGGTGTCGGGTTCCGGAGCTTCTTCAAATGGATCTTGAGCAGCGCAAATATTTGGCTATACCTAAGGAAATGGTAAGTTCATGTAGTCCGATTTAAGTTTTAAGTTATAAGTAAGTTTGTAAGTCTATTGTATCTTTATTCAACTTTAGGAGAACGACAAGTTGGAATTCAGCAAATGCTATACATATGGCGTTAACTGGACACAGTTGCTTGACTCTATTGAATACACCGATGAAAGTGCTTTAACACTGGAGCCTAATAGCAGTTGGCCATTGGTTAAGTGCAGTCAAGGGTGGGAGTACAACACGACCAGTGTCTGGTCATCGATTGTGATCGATGTGATTAAAGAAACATATACATAGCTACAAATAATCTACATCTAGTCTCATTTAGAGCCGCTCTTTGCCACTCATTTCCTAGTCATTCAGGAACCCTGATCTGATAGGCACTTGCATAATAATATCGATAAATTTGTTAACAGTTTAATTTGGTATGCGATCGAGATATATATCCCACCATTGGATTGGCGGCTCTCAACTGTGGAGGTCCGGTAGGTGTATATCTGTTTGGATTACTTAACGATCGAGCAGGCCGGCGACTATCTTACTTCGCCTGCCTTGCTACTCTTCTGGCGGGCAGTTTGATGACATCGCTGAGCACGGACTTTTGGACATGGGCCGGAAGTCGAGTGATTGTTGGGTTGACTATTCCTGCGGTATATCAGATACCCTTTATCATTTGTAAGTAGATCTGCCTATATACATTTGCTGATTTATACCCTGAACCCATTGAAAATGGGGCACCAGGGTGTTATGGTTTTGTTGAAATGTATGTAACAGGCAGAAGGAGGCGTAGCAGACCCCACAAAGTATATATATTCTTGATCAGGCCGACGAGTTGAGTCGATTTGGCCCTGTCTGTATGTCTTACCGTCCTCCGTCCGTTGGTTTGAACGCCTCGATGTCAGAAGATATAAGAGCTAGTGACTGGAAATTTTACTTTTTATATTGCTGATTCAGAAATAAAATTCGACCGGATAACGATTTTTTTTATATACACGTGCATGTACATGGACAAAAAAATTTGCAGTCTCTATTTCAACATAATAGCATAAGGGCATACGCACAGGGTTAAATCGCTTCAGCTCATCCTCCTTATCAAGATCATGTACACTTTTTTTTTTTTAAACCATCATTCCCTGGTTTTCCATAATATTCAATGGATCCAATATGTAGAATATAATCTAAACCAGTTACAAAACTGAGAATATTTTATCCTTCAAACGTTTCACAGCGACAAATCATATTGTCAACTAACTGAGGTTTTACTAAAACATATAATATGAAAAAATGGCAAATCTATTACTTTTAGAGCTAAAATCGACTAATGGAGTATACATATCAATATTTTCCCACAGATATTCCTGTTTGGTATTGGATTTTGGTCGCGCGTGATTAATATGCCAGTTTTTTCATGTCTGTTTTGCAGCTCTGGAATTAGTGGGCGAGAAGTATCGATCTTTTGTGACTGTAATGACGTGCACATTTTATACGTCAGGAATAATGCTACTCTCGTTGGTTACCTATCTGGAGCGGGACTGGGTGCGTCTCTCATACTACACATCCTTACCCTTTTACTCCTACTTTCTATACATATTCATAATGCCCGAGTCCCCCCGATGGCTTCTCATGCGTGGCCGCTTGGAAGAGGCGCTGCGAATACTTGAACGCATGGCACGCGTCAATGGACAACAATTTCCTGAGGTCGTGCATAGCAAATTAGAGGCTCAAATCCAGAGAGATAAACATCGCGAACAGAAGAGGAAGGTCGCTAACGTAGGCCTCATAGATCTATGCCGCACGCCTAACATGCGCCTAAAGACAATCTTGATCACACTTAGCTGGTTTGCCAACGAGACCGTCTATTTGGGTCTCAGCTACTATGGACCATCGCTTGGCACCAATCAATATGTAAGCTTCTTTTTGTCGGCGGTTGTTGAGATTCCAAGTTACTTATGCTGTTGGTACTTTATGGACACTTGGGGACGACGTTGGCCCCTAAGCTTATCAATGATATTGGGGTGAGACTATCAATACTGTTGATATTTAACTTGACTTTCTAACGTTAATTAATTAACTTAATATTTCTAACGTTTTTTTATTTAATGTATGTAACAGGCAGGGGCATACCCCCTAAGTATATTTATTTTATAAGGGTGACGAACTATGTCGGACCCTGTCCGTCTGTTTGAACGCGATACATTTTTTTAGGCTTTTACACACGTAGATCAAGTTTGCTTAAAAAAAACGATAACTATTTAAGTTTTAAAGTTATCGACAATCTTATATATATGTATGTATATCTATATCATACATTTTAAATTTTAAATATAGGATCACGTATTTTATAGAATTTTGATTTTTTTTATGTTTAGGATACCGGCCACAAATTCATCCTTTTCGCTCCAAATTTCATTTGAATTTATGAAGATAGTCCATCTGCAAGAAAAATTATGAAACAATTAAGTTCTCAAAGTAAGCGTGTGTATGAACATGTGTTGTTTTTAGTGCATACAGAAAAGAAGTAAAAAGATTGTTAAAGTGCCAGTTATACGAATTCAGGGGATCTCGTAGTCGAGATGTCTCGGCTAGAGTTCCTTACATATTATTTAGTATTTAGTTCTATTTATATAACTATTATTTATTATTCTCTTGTTCTTCAATTGAATATAGTGGAGTGGCTTGCGTTATAACTGTGATGCTACCTGACAATGCCATAGACGAGACTTTAATATTATATCTCATATCAAAGGCTCTACTTTCGGCATCATTCTTGATCATTTACCCGTTTGCCGGCGAGCTATATCCGACGCAGGTGCGCGGCATAGGCATTGGGGCATCTAGCTACATAGGAGGCTTGGGACTTATCGTGATACCCTTCGTTACGTATCTGGGTAAAGAAAATTTAAAGCTGCCATTAGTAATAATGGGATTTGTTTCGATGCTGGGGGGCTTGACCGGCTTGCGTTTGCCGGAGACATTGCATCATCGTTTGCCGCAGACCATTGAAGAGGGTGAAGAGTTTGGCAAGGATTGGCAACTCAAGGATTGCTTCCGATGCAAACCACAACCGTAAATCTAATTCTGAATTTAAAAATGACCAAATTTTGAGTAATCAATTTTATTATCATTAAAGTGATATTCACTCACCACCAGCTTCCTATGAAAATCTGGATGTACTAGGGGGCTCTTCAACCAATGCTTCCGATGTCGAACTAGAGTTAAAGGATAGTCGTCGCCAACGCCAGCTGCCTCGCATCAATGAGCGCACACCACTCGAGACTAGCGATTCGAACAGTGGCAGTACTGGAAGGCAGCATCGGTCTTCGATGAAGCGATTGGTCCGCCAGATGAGTGTAATGGATACCCAACGGACTCACGACGGGACCATGCAGCTTACACATTGGATCTGAGTGCTTCAACAAGCATATGATTACATATTTACATATATCGAAACGTCTATTTTACCTACAAAAATAGACTCCTATGATGATTTTCACACAATTAAATATACATATATATAAATATTGTATGCAACATATTAAAAAAAAATAATAAAAAAAACAGTTACATATATGCATAAAAATAGGATCTAAGATTGTCACTTGAAATTCACCTTCAAATTTGTTTTATTCCTTAAAGTTTATTCAGATCAGTATAAGTTGTTTTGTCATGCAATATAAGACGTGCACCCGATTCAATTTTATAAATAATAAATTCCAATATATTGCATAATTCTATCCCCTAAGCACCTGATATAGTATTTTCGTATGTTAATGCTAGGCTTTCTCTTTGAGAGTCTTGATCATGTCTAACGGCTTAAGCGTTATATTCATTCGGAAACAGAAAAGAACCTTAAATAGAAAAAATTATTTTGGTATTGAAAATTTTCGCAATTTACCGCTGTTGATAATCAAGCTCAAGAAACACGATCAGGAATTTCTAAGATTAGTTGTATATGAATACAACATCGCAGTATCTAAATTTGTGTATGCATTCGTTAGTATTACGGGTGAGCTGCATCTATCGTTTACCTTTCGAAACAATAACAAATCCGTTCGACAAGGTTAATTATTAAATAATACGAAATTTAAAAATCCATAGACAAAGTTTATCCGGTATAACATACAGATACATATAAATAAAACTACTACTACTAGATGTGTCTCCCAGTATATCAGTATAGCATATGTCATACAATAACTGTACACCTCTAAACGCTTATTGTTGTTTCGAGCTGCTTTTATTTATACATTTATGCAGCCAATTATGCATTTTATTGGTGCCAAACAAAAGTACAAAATCAAAAACAATTAAGACTGGTCTAGACGGAACAACTGAGATAGTAGATACCCTGCACTTTATCTGCGATTTATTGAGGTGTACTTCCTCTGTTCTGTTACTTTGATTTACACAATGCTTCCATGCTGAATCGTATACCCGTTCTCACTGCGCATAGGCTACAACGAAATTAAATGGAAATCTGATTCAGGTGAGGAATGAAAATTGCCTCCAGCTGTCAGTCGTTATCGTGTGATGACTGCCATAGGAAGCTTTGAGAACAAAAATGTGTTCATAAGGTTATACTTGTACATAAAATATTTTCCGATATGTATTTGTTTACAATTGTCGAGAGTTGTCAAGAACGTGGCAATGAAAATTTTATGTGTAAAGGGTCAATTGAGCCGACGACACTAAAAAATGTCTGCATTCGCTGGATTGCAAGCGCAATCCCAAGACAGGGGCTCATCTAAGTGCCACATTCTGTGCCTGCATGAAGAAATTATCCGCCACCTGTTTGCCTACTTGCCTCGGCTGTCTGACAAGGTACGACTGGCGTGTGTGGCTCCAAAGTTCCGACAGGCATTTGAGAGTTGGGCTCGAACCCAGAAGCACACATTGGATGCGGAAGATGTGGAGCAAATGGCGTTACCCGATATCATAGATTTCTTCAAGGTGGCCGGACCCTTTGTGCGCGTGCTGATGGTTAACTGTGCGTCCTTCCAAAAGGAATCGCTGCTTGTCGAGTTTATTTCGGAGTATTGCAAGAACATCGAAGAAATCTACTACACCAATGTGACAGACGAGTTTCGCTATCGGACGATTATGTCCCGATTGACGCATCTCCGGCGTGTCAGCATCGACTGCATGGATGCGGAGGATGTTCTTAGTTTGGATTTGGATGGCAATACCGATCTGGAGTCGTTTGAGTTGATCAATGGCTGTTATACGGGTAAGCCAATTCCCACCATTACCAGCTGATATGAATTGCTTGACGAATTGTAGCTGTTAGGCAAACACCTGTGCGGCTTTGACAAGCTCCACAGGCTTGTGCTCCGAGACTGCCTCCTCTGGAACTCAGGCGAGTTTGGCATTCCGCTGAGAAAACTGCGTACACTCGTCTTAGATGATTGCTGCTTTGAGGTCATGAATCAGTCGCTCTACCAAAAGGTAGCCGAATGCTGTGAGGAGCTGGAGGAGCTGTCCTTTTCTGGCTGCGATGCAAACTTTGAGATTATTGCCCAACTTCCCAATTTGCAGCGGTGCACGCTCAAAACCTGGATGACGTCTAATGAGCTGAATCTGGGATTTCTCTCCACTCTAGCCGAAAAGAAGGGCAACAAGCTGGCGTACTTCAAACTGACGGGCCAGTTTGAGATCAGCAATGAGCATGCCCGGTTCCTGGGTCAGCTGAGCAGTTTGAGGGAGTTGTATTGGTGCGAAAATGATGTACTGGAGGACGATCACTTCAAGTTCTTCAATGAGCTGCCATTGCTGAAGCGGTTTGGACTGTCCTTCTGTGGCCGTGTCACCGATGTTGGTCTGATGCGCTTGATTCGCAAATGCCCCCAGCTAGATATCATTGATATCAAGAGCTGCGACGAGATCACCGACCAGTTAGTATTGAATGCCGTCTATTGCTGTGGCAAGGCAACACATCGAACTTTGGTCCTTAATGTAGAAGGTACTAGGATCTCAAGTACTGTTCTCATGGTATGTGCTTTAGATTCAGATATATGTTGCTATAATAGGCTCTCATGCTGTCTGTTCTCCGCACAGCATCCCGATTACTTAAGCCCGCAAAACATGGTTAAACTTAACTTTACAAATGTGACGTTCTAGCAAACTGAACTGAATTGAGGAACATTCATAAGGAAGTACTATTTTGTATTTATGATCAAGTTCACTCTGATCGGTATCAAATGATTGCGAGCGTCTACCGTTACGGCCTGGCCATTTAATATTTCAGCGTAAATGCCATTTAGATACAGATACACATATGTTTGTATAGCTCAAATGATTCGTTCCGATTCTACTATTAGCTGCAATAAATTTCCCATTCAATTGTTGCTTGAACTTTGCCGTGCCGATAGGAATGATGTCTGTGTTAGCAGCAGGAAGCCCAGTTAGCTTCTTACCGCTGGTCAGTCAGCCTTAGTCATCCGCCAGTCTCGATCCCGAGGCAGTTGTTGCGTGCTACTCGTGCATGACAACATTCACAATGGCTGCAATGTCTGCAGTTAACCTCGACTCGGTCTCCTTAAATAGACAAACGTGATCGTTCTGACTTAGTTGTAGTACATCTAACCCATTGACATCGCATCGTACCGCATTGGCCTGCTGGCTATGGGTACACACTTATATACACATGCAAATAAACTTAACGGAAAAAAGCGCCTTGACATGTTCAGGTGCCTGCTGCGATGGTGGCTTCTCGATTTTCTGCTCTGAGCATTGACTAATTACATATTTCTGCTAGCTGAGTCGCTTGACATTTTCCGCGGACGCGAATATCTCGAGTACAAATTACAATGTGATATATTGTACATATATAAATAAAAAGTATCTAAACTATTCTTTGCTAAATTTATTGAAATGAAGTATTTTAAGAATTCCTCGTACTGTAGTATATGCCTGAAATTTTATTAGATTTATTAAATTTGACAACGAATATTTATTATTATTATTGAGATGAATTATTATAATTACTTTCAATCGTTCCGCAGTAGAGCCAAACCATACATGTCTTATATTGTTTAGAGACATTCAAAACAGAGCATTTAAAAATAACGAGCTTTGCAGGTTGACTGAGTTGGGAAATGTAATTTAATTGACTATAATAAAGAGTTTCAATTTTGATCTACAACATTTTTTGACCCAAGAGCTGATATTTTATGTGTGACTCATTCAAGATCGTTTATACATATATGTATATGATTTTGTGTTGTACCGTTGATCTAAAGAGTTGTAAAGGGAATCAACGAGCTGTAAAAATGAACTAAAAAAATACATATATCCATTTCTTGTAATCTTGCTGTCAGGCTGATCGACGTCGGGGTTAATGTGAATCCTATAAAATATATATGAAAATGTAGTATGCCGTAGTCAATGTCTTTTTTGCACATCCGATGGCTTTTTGCACCAGTTTTTTCAATTAAAATAACTGTCTAGAATATTGAATATACCTACGTACGTCTTTATAAAGGATTTTTATAACTTTGCAGTATGTTCAGGAAAGTTTCAATTTTAACTTAGTTTTCTCAATATAGTCATTGTATATAGCTAAATGCGAATCATAAAACTCCTCTCACCTACAGTTTAAGCTTCAACTACTAACTTTGGCTTCAGAAATACTACCATGATCATCTTTGTTGCCAATTGCCATTTTATTGAGGTCTGCAGGCTTGTCAAGGTGCCAGACCGACTCAAGCCGAAGCTGATTCCAAGCGACTCGAAGAATCGAAGCCTTGTATCTGTCTGACTGCAGTTTGACAAACCCGTTGACTTAACAATCGCATGCTGAAGCTACCTCCAATTGTTGACCACGATGCATGGCTTAGCTTCTAACTGTGACTGCGAATTTACACACAGATATCAGCCGATACAAATCTATACCGTTCAGAATATAAAGATGTAGCCGTGCCAAGCTATAGGAGACGCATGGCTCGCCGACCATGTCAGCGACTGCATATTAGAGATGGGAGGCTTAGTACAAGCTTGTGAACAACTTAGTTGTTCACCATCGTGAACTATATCAGTTAACTATATCAGTTAAAATTGGAGATTGAAATTAAATTGGTTCAGTTGTGCGCTCTTTCAACTACTGTTCAAAGAATAGCCGAAGAATCAATGAAATGTATCGCTCTCGAACTTTTTATCTACATCAATGGACTGAAGCGCTGAGCAAAGAGTTTCTACCGTCCATGACCAATTGAATGGATGGTTCATAACTTCATTATCGACTTCATTGTGAGCAATGCAGCTCAGCACTGTTTCTTGTTGAATACACACAAATAATATAACGAGAGACTCTAACAGAGCATGTATTACCTAGTCGAACGTATTGCCCTGAGCATGAGAGCACGGGACAGGTCGAGGTCGTCTCTACATTTGCGCAGCATTTGTCCGAACGCCATGGGTGCGAAAATCGCCATAAACAGATGCTTCTCAGATGAACAGCAGCTTCACTGAGACTAGCTGAAGACTACTTGGATGTTGCCGCAATGTTTTTGTCGGTATATCAAGTTGAATCTGTCCGGTATATTGTTTGCTCCTTATAAATGACAGGCCACTAAATTTATGGAAATCTCACGTGTACACTGTATTTCAAAGAGATGCATTCCATAATAAATGCAGCGTTTTGTGCAGCTACAATTGCTTCGGACTTATACAAACTTTTGGTGGCTTTGCATAAGAACCTTAGTGACTGTCATTTGGATAACTTGTCTTTTAGCCGCAGATCTTGTACAGTGGCTGATTAAAGCATTCAAAGGAAATTATGGCTTTATAAATTTCCCAATATATTCGTTATATTAGAATGGGCATATATATAATAAATTTTTACTTGTAATAGATGGATCCGATCCGATACATTGAAGACAACAAAGGGAATAATTTTAATTTGAAATATTTATTGTCGCTCAGAAAAATGGCTAAAATAAATTAAACTAAATTCAATCAATTAAACTAAAATCAATTACTGCTAAAATTTACATATCTTTTTTATCCTACATTCTCCATTCTTTACCCAGACTAGACAAGGATAAAC